ATGTAGGTAGGTAAGAGCAAAAGGTAATGCTTTATTTGTAACTCAAACAGAAAACTTAAAGAATTTCTAGTTGTGGTAGTAGGCTTAATGATCTGATAAACCAATTCATAGTGCCAGTTTATGGACAGATTCATCTTAGGAATCTGCATAGTTAATCATAGGAGTAACCTGGGTGTTAAGACACTCCACTCCAGATCAGACTTTATTTCAGTCTGCACTGTCATGTTAAATTAAGGTTCCAGCTTGCACTTACATCCACATGTCTGATTGTATATACTGCCTGCTTATTGATTTTATACTTCCTTTAATGTCTGGAGCAAACCAGCCAATTTACCAGGTGGAGAAACATAAACAGAGAAAATTGAATCCTACCTTTTAAGGCTGGGCTGACTTCAGTCTCTCATGCCACATGGCAAAAAACTTGGTTTATTCTTTGTCATAATTAACTACTCAGTACAGATTAAAACACTATAGCTAATTCAAGCAAAAATCTCCAACATGCAAGTCTGGTATTTTGATTTCTCTTGGAACTGTATCTGAACAATACGTATTTTTATTTTTTTTTAATTCCTTTGCTCTGCCCACCAATACTTATGATGTTTACCAAGACAGTAAGGATTGACACAACAGAAAAGACTTTAGGCTGAAATGCTGCCTTACTCAACTTCTTTAGAGTGCCAAGGATTCTGCAGAAGGAGAAAAAAAAACAACCTTAAGATTTTCTTTTTCCATATTTCAAAACATTTCTTTCCAAACATTTCTTTCCATATGTTTCTAAGATTGTAACTTCTTAGACAGAGCCTGAGGTCAGCAGTGTTTTTTTTTTTTTTTATTATTTTTTTTCCAGCTAATTTCCTGTATTCCAGTAATTTTGCTTCTATGTCCAGCTAATGCCAGAAAACTCAGTTGTGCAATATGTAGGCATGAACTTAACTGAATTTAATTTAAATTCTAACCCCAAAGTACAGTTAATCAGTCAAATCCATAAATTATCATCACACTGGTCAATGGACCACGGAGAGTATTTTGTTCATCTCTCACTGAAAACTTCCTTTTCCCTTTCCTCTTTCCCTTTTTCCCTTTCCTTTCCCATTGCATTTGTTTGTTTGTTTGTTGATTTGCTGTCTTCTGTTTCAGAAATATTTCTTAAAAGTTGAGTTGAGGTTACTTGTATGTAATCGGCTATCTATGCATTAGAATTTGCATCTACAAAGTAATCAACATCTTTTATTCTAGATTGCTAGGGAATTCTTGTTTTTCTGGTGTTCACCCTCTTTGTGAATTCATTATCCCTTCACACTTGCAAAATATTGGGGATTGAGAACTGTTCAGGGTACCCAGATTCTTAATGATTGAGGTGACTTCAACTTGCACAGTTATTAAAATTGTTTTGCACAGAAATATTTGTAAGAAATTCTCTGTATACCAACTATTAAAATAATGACTAGACATTACATTTTATTTTTGGTGTATATCCTCTTTAATAAGGGCCTGATTTTAGAACAAGCTATATACATGTGTAAGGTCTGATTAGAGATTTCTGTTTTTTAATTTAAGGTCTGTTCTCCCTGACCTTTCAATAGATATGAGTTACTCATAATGCCTGTGTTACTCCAGAGCCTAAAAATACATCTGTAATATAGATCTGAACGACAGAATATATGGTGTCAAATGGAATAATATTGTCCCCTTAAGACTCCATTCTGCAAATAAAAACTGGGTAATAGTCCCTTAGCATGCTAGAAACCTCTGTCCTGATGAGAGCTTTTTCCCCCCCATGAATGAAGTTTTCTCATTGGGAAAATAAAACGTTTCAGTTTATTTTTTATTTTTATTTATTTATTTATTTATTTTTAATTACCACTTCCATTCAAATTCTTAGCAACTGAGTGAATTCACAAAAAAATCTAATACATTCTAGTATTTATGGAAATGTTTGCCTTGAGAGTGGGATAACACTATCCACTCATCTGTTGAGAAAAAAGACAGGAAGAGATAAAGTAGCTTTTATTTCTTAAATATATACCTTTCAATAATGACTTCTGTTTAATTAAAAAAAAGTACATGCATTTTTATATCTCAAAAATATTCAGAATATTGAAAATAAAAATGGGGAATGATCTGAAATCTGTCTCTCTCATTTCTTACTAATGAAAAAAAAAAAAAGGAAGTTATTTGAGAACACACCACAAAAATTTCAACATTTTTTTTTTCAATGATAGAATAGTTTATTGGGACCAAAACCCTTTGGCGATAATTCCTGTGTAGAAACTTGCCATTTTGCATGCTGCTTTTGAATATATATACTTACACAACAACTTTAGAACTATCTTAGTAGTCACTGAACACTGAAAAAAAAATTCTTTCCAAATGACCAGATGCAGATAGGCTAAATTCACCCTTTGTTCTGTTTCAGCTGTCTCTTCTTCTCTGAGATGCAGTTGAAGGTTAAACTGTGTTGATATCAGCTCAGATGTGGATTGAAAAGTCTACTAAGGAGAAGTAGGCAGGTGGTAGTGACTGGGGCAAAGTCATTCTTGGAACTGATTGGCAGACTGAGTTTTTCAATGAAGAGAGGACCTAGCAATTTATCATCTTGTCATCAGGTAAAAACCACAAAAAAAGTCATTATAATAACAAATGTATTTATTATATTTGAAGCTATAGAAATTATTTTTATAACTTTTTTTTTTTTTTTTTTTTTTTTTTTTTTTTTTTTTAAGCTGTGGCTTTTCAGAATATTTTCAAATTGGGTTGTTTTCAAATTTTCACCATTGTTTGAAAGATTTATGAGGTGTTTGTTTAACAAAATTATATGTCTGTTTTCAGATCTCTGAAGTAGCATGAATATTCAATATTTCTATGGTTAGTATATTCCAGTGTTGTAAATTAAATTTCATTTAAACAACATTCTTAAACATACATGGACTCTTTTTGTCATTATCCATAAAAATAAAGTGAAGTAAGTGACTCTTGACTTCTTGCCAGTTGGTCAATTATAACTAATATACTTTTTATTCCAGATCTATTGAGCTATTCTTGTCTACGTGTGTTGTAAATTACCTTAAAATTGTGCTTCCCCTTGTGGATATTGATTTGTTTAAATGTATTTAGCCAGAAGCATCCAAAAAGATAAAGCACTTCATTTTGTTATTATTTTTAATACTAAATTTGAAAGTGCATCTAGCACTACTTTGAATTATATCTGGTTAAAAGCTGTAGGAATTAAAAATCTGCACATGCTTTATGTAATGAAATTTAAAGTCTATGATTTAAATTGAAATAGTTATGCTGAGTTCAAAGTTACAGGAGTGTAAAAATGTGTAGAATAAGCAAAGCTCTGTTGCTCAGTATGAAACCACAAAGCATACCACACCAGGGAGAGATGACATAGAATTAAAAAATAAAAATAAAAAAATCTCTTTCAGTTTTAAAAAATGCCTAGCTTGTTTATCAACTTATTTTCTCCCCAGATAACCTTTTTTTTCAAAGGTTCTTACAATCTGGAAAACTAACTTTTTGCCACTGTGATTGTCAGTAGGTTTTTGAAAATTGTGTACCACAGTCACCACTGAAAACACTGGAGTGCAAGATGCAGAGTACCTGGGGCAAGGAGGATGGGCAGGTCTTGCTGGTGCAGGCAAGTCCCAGTCTGTGGCATGCAAACTGCTCTAAGGTTGACCTCAGCAAGTGTGGGTATTAAATTTTAATTTTTCTTGTACTGCATTTTCAACTGCATGCACACGGGCAAACAAGGTGAGATTGATAAAGTTCATGAGGCTGGTATTTATGTAAGGGGCTATGGCTGGTAATCTTGGATGTGCCTTTTTTACTTCCTGTCTGTTTGCCCAATGCCGTGGTAGGGTAAAGTATATTCTGAGAACAGTGCTTGGCTCAGCCAGTTGGAGTGACTGATAAATTGTCTCCATCTGTTAGGTAATCCTTGGATTACCTAACGTCCACTAGTCACTAATCCACTAGTCTCCAAAGTAAACCCTGAGCTGAGTTCCCAAGATGTGGCAAAACTCATACACATCCCCCTGACTAGTGCATTGGGTTTTGGGTAGCCTTTACGTGGTGCCCACATTTCTCTGGGCATCTTTAGAAAGCCTCAGACCCTAGCTTGGTGCTTAGGCTTCTAAACCTCAGACTCAGGTGTCAAAAAAGGGAATATGCATCTAAGGTCAGAGAGAGCTCATTGTACTCCTCGGCTTTGAATTATGGTGCCTGGATTCTGTGCTCAACCTGCCCAGGCTGTTGACGTGGCATAGTAACTAAGATGTTAGATGGCAATACAGCAGATATAATTTTACTGTGAGCTAATATAGGTATAAATCACAGTGACAGAAACAATTTGTATAAAAAAATGATGAAAGGGGTAAATGAAAACTTTACAAGTTTCTGAACTTTTTTTTTTTTTGTGTGTGTGTATGTGAACATTTTCCTTGCTGGGTTTTTCACTACTGTATTAGCTCTACAAAAACTGTTACTGACTGTTTGATTAATATAAAAGTATTATTTGAATATCTAAGTGATGATAAGATGATTTTTTTTTATAAATCTGAGGTTTTATAGAATGCTATCTAGAAGACTAGAATGATATGGTATTTGTTTCTGTTTAAAAATTCTATCCAAGAAAGAATTCCGAGTAGGTCAGTATTAGATTTCTGAAAGCTAACATTTTGTAAACTGCATACAACATCTCAAACATTATATGTCTGTATGTAATTCAGCAAGGCTTACTGATAAATTACCTTGTTTGATTAAATGTATCTTCAGTAACTATGATAAATTATTTTTTTTGACTCATTACTTCCTGCCTAGAAAAGACTATATTAAATGGCAAAAAATGGAGAAAACATAGCATATATTTTTTCATACTTTCAAAGGGCAGTACCTTCTCACTGAATTTCTTGGCATCTATATCTGTGTTTTTTTTGTTTTTTTTTTTCTTCTTCTTATTATTTTTATTTATTATTATTAAAGAAAAATGAAAAAAATCCTAAGCTAAACTTATAAGGTTACAGGACTCATCTGAATTTATGTCTATGGACAAATAGGGAAATTGGAAATAAGATAATTCATGATGTTTTGAAGTGGATAATTTCTGTTATAGGCATAAAAATGTTTTACAGTAGAACAATTAATTTTGCTTGGAGATAAATAAAGAAAATATAGTTATTTTGAAGCTAAGTGCTTTATATGTGGCCATATTCATAAAGCTGTGCAATATCAGCTTATCTTCAAATAATGAATCATGACATGATCCTGAGTACTTAACTCGCACATCTGTTCACTGGTTCCATGGATTGCATGCCACCTGCATGCTTAGTGATTTCCAGCTCCTAAATATAGTTTCATTATGAATTGAGGAACAAATAAACACATGTGCACTGTCAGTGCACAACTCAGACAGATGGAAAAGCTGCAGATCAAATGGTGTAAAATGCATGCATAAGTTGGTGTGTGTGTAACATTTTGAAAAACAAATAAATCTATTAGCTCTTTTGAGAAGATCATCAATGAACTGGTCAATGCACCTGGAAAGAAGTAATCAGCTAGCACCTGCTCCTTCTGCTGTCTGTCTGAAATGATTGTGTTTACAGGAATCCTTAACCTATTAAAACTTTTCCCATCACAGGTCTGAGCTGACTCTTACAGCTCCACAAATCTTTCTCTACTGTCCCACAGCCATGGAGACTATTCAAGGCATGTGCCTGGTGAGACCAGAGGTTGACTTTCCCACAGCCATGGAGACTATTCAAGGCATGTGCCTGGTGAGACCAGAGGTTGACTTTCCCAGCACCTTTCATGGTATGTCTGTAATCTTGTTATAACCTGGCACTTATTACAAACATGCGTGACCTGTGCTCAAAAGGTTCTGCACAGATATTGCTGTGATAGTAAAAGCTTCTGAGGAATGCTGATAACTATTCACATTTGGTTTTATAAATTTATCTTCAATGTACAAGTATGAAACTGGGTAGATGCTGCATAGCCAATACATTTATTTGCTTAGCACTCTGTATGTATTTTTTTTTCTAGTTTTGTTTGTTTATTTGTTTTGGCACAGGACAGACTGTCATGTTTAGTCAGCTGAAAAATTGCAGGTAGCATGTTCAAACTTTTTGAATAATGTATATACATATTCTTATATAGTATATATAAATTACATATATATATATAAATGTCTATACATATATATAAAAACATAAGTAGAGTGAATTTTTTAGGCTTGCATACTAAAAACGGATGAGTGGAATTAAATTTCTAGGATGTTCTATTTAAAAGTTGAAATCTCCTTGTTCAAACAAGTCATACTGAATTACAAGAAAAATATATTTTTAAAGAATAAACTTTGTTTATGCTAATTTCAATCTCCTCAATCACATTCACCTGCTATGTGGTACCTGGGGTATTTTTTCTTTTACCATGGATTTGCTTGTTTTTGACATAGCTATGAAAAGCGTGACAGATCTGTCAGAAGTGTGGTTGTGTTTTTTCATATAATTGAAAGCATTTTTGTGTACTGCTGATTGTTTTGTGGGGCAAGTGATACAGGTCTGAGCTGTAGCAAACAGTCTGAAAATGCAGTCTGTGTACAAACTTCTGACCTAAGCCAACAAGAGGACCCTGGTGAAGAAAAGCAGGGCTGGAAAGTAAGTGAGAAACACAAAATGCTTCCAACCTCTTGCTCTTCTGGGAACTGCATATGTGTATCTGAAACCATGGTTTGGTCTGCTGCTTAAAAGGTTGCTTAGGGTTAAATTCTGCCATAAGATTTTGGCATATGGCTCTGATTGAAGTCAATGGGAGTCCTGTGAGTGCATCTGAGGGCACAGTATGACCCTTCTTACTTGTTTTCACTCAATATATTTTTATGCTGTGGCACCTCTGAGCAGGGACAGTCTCAACTGCTCATTCGCTTTAAAGGCCATCTGTAAGGAGAGCTGTTTTTGTTTCTTTCCATTTTCTGAGGAGCCCTTTGTCTTTTTTCCATGGCTTCCTTTCTTGTTGATTTATTAAGGTACTAATGCTCAGATCACAGTCTATAAAAATTAACACTTCAATCTGAAAGAAAAAAACAACCAAGTAGGTAATATAAGTACAAGATAATAGCACAAGCAGTTTCTGGGAGACATAGCATATTTCATTTTCAGCTGTCTTCTCAAAGATAAAGAACAGTTCAATCAAATTAAAAACATGGAGAGATTTTCCTTCAAGCCACATTGAGCAATCAGGTCTAAAAACAAGCCATACTGTGCTCCTGAAGCAGATAATAATATCAATGATGAGGTATTACTATTAGGAGTAAATGGTTTCTGTAAAATAATAAACCGATTCAATGGGCCAAATGATGATAAGGTACTTTTCATGGATATGCCAGAGGCAGAAATTATTTTCTCAGGCTTGGAATCCTAACTTGACATTCCTACTGCAAAACTCTAAGAGGCTTGTATCAGTCTTGTTATTACCATGATGGACACTGAAGTGGGACCCTGAAAGCTGAACGTTTCAGTCTGTTTAAGTATGCTTTTGGGTGGGCAATGCTTAAAGTTCTGCCTTTTGTTCTATATTGATGCTTGTGTGATTGTGGGGTCACTGAGCTCACAGAGACTGCTACAGAGCAAAACTCCTTTTGACAAAAGTGGTATAGGCATAGCATTTTTACGAAGACGATTCATGAAATATGTTGTGTTTACCATAAATATTAACTGTTCTAAAATCAGCAATCTTCCTCCTTACTGTTTCATAGCAAACCTGTGATCTAGTGCAGTGTCTTGTTCTAGAGGTGTTCAGTGCTTATGAATTATGGCAGAGGAAAGAACATCCCTGCAAGGAGGGCTGTTCTCTGTCTAGGCCACAAATTGATAATGTTTCACTTTGGGAGTATGACTGCCTTGGGAATAGTTTCAAACTTTCTAAAATATATGAGATTTGATTAAGTTTTACAGCTTTTTGTAGATTCTACCAGAGCTACTGTATCTGGACTCTTGCAACAATAGAGATGAATTCTGTACAGCAAAACATGGCAACGTCTTAGGCAGTGCCTAGGAATTTACCTAGAATGTGAAAGCTGACAGTCACTTGCAAGCATATTCCTTGCTATAACTTATTTTCTGTCTGTTACAGGCCTTCTTTTATTATTACAAAATATAGCTCTAATGTAGTGTATAATGTAGTGCTCCTATACTTCCATGGAAATCTTTCTCTTCCAATCATTGATTTAAAATTTGCTATACTTTGAATGTTATTTCCTGTTACTTTTAGTTTTGCTATACTGTATTTTACCTCTGCCCCTTTGCAAAACTTATTTATTTTTACATTTGATGCCTACCTGTACGTATAATACTATAGTTTTTGCAAACTAAAATGAATGTTATTAATGAATGCTATTGCCTGAAGTCAGCACATCTCATTGCATTTTCTCTTTCCCTTGCTCTCTTGGAAACAATATTGAGGCTGCTTATCTTCCAGTATTCAATTTGAAGTCATGTTTTTAAATTTTCTTCTACTTTTTTTTTGATCTCTTGAACTGTTATCTTGCTTATGTTTGGAATCCATGGCTTTTTCCAGTAGAAATACAGACCATAAGATCTTACTTTGTTGCCTGAATTAGCTATTTTACATTTAAACTACCATCTCTTGGTTTAAAGCATTCTGAAGGGTCCCCAGTTTCAAGAGTCATAGCCACTCAAATATAATGTTACAGATCTCTCTGTAGTCTTAATGATATAATATTTAAATGTGCTGTCCCTGTAATATGATCCTAGTATGAGACAAGGATTTGTTACACAAGAGAGGAAGACCTAAGAAACTCAGAAAAGTTATCTTTAGGGAGCATAAATAGAAGAGGAGTACTGTCTCTGTCACTGTATGTCTAAGTTAAAGTGCCAGGGAAGGATCTGCACACATGAGGACAGACAAGAATGAGAAAGTTTTAAAGAAATTATTTCTCTGTTCAAAGTGCGCTGTTGCCTGGTAGATGAAGGAAGATGGCCTTGATGAGCTGTGAACTCTTCCCTAATCCACAATCTCTTGTTTCTACACTGGATTCCCAATTCACTAGGGACAGAGGGCTATATGTTCTGAGAAGTTATAAACAGAAATGGTGTCCAAAATCCAGTGATTTGCCTTCAGTTCTATTTGCCCTCAGTTTGTTCTCAGTTCTACTGCTTGCAGTTTGGAAACTGGCTTCCAGTCCTTCTCCCTGAAGAACAGGTATCACATCAAAGCGAGACATACAGTGCTCTGTTTTCAGGATATTACCTGAGAACTTTTTGTGCCATTGACTGCTGTGATGCAGATATCTGGGTCCCCCACCCTGCATCATGTGATGGCAAGGCAGAGCTACTGCAGAAATTTCTTATGCTTTTGCCCAAAAGGAAAATACCATAAATGATCTTACCCTTACCTCTTCTCTGACCTGCTGGAGAGAAATGCATGAGGAGGAGTCAATTTGTAGAGGGAAGACCTAAGCAATCTGGTCTGACCTCATAGTTTCCCTCCCACCCCCATGTTATTTGCTGTTATCTGTACCATATTACTGAGCAAAATTTTTCTTTCCTGTCTCTCTTTGATAAGGTTATTTTCTGTGACAGGTGGAAGCTGATGCAAAGGATGTGAAAGGAATTTAGGAATTTCCTAAATTGGCTGGTGCCAGCTTTGTTTTCATTTGATTATTTTAATACTGGCAAAAGAAGAAAGTTGTCACAGTAGGAAACTCACCTAAATATACTTTAATAAAGACGCAGGTCCAATGATACAGCTTTAAGATTCTAGATGACACTGATGGTGTTTTCTAATCTGTTGAGTGCCCAGTGTAAAAGAAAACGGAAGTAGATTCTGGGTAAAAGAAAATAATGCAGTCCTCGTGTGTTTTTCCTTTGCTTAGAATTCCCCAGTAGCTGGTGACTTAAATGCTACGTTGATTTTTAAATAAAAATATCACAAAAACAAAACAATTCAGATCCTATTTTTGTAAGGAAAAGGATGTAAGTAAATACAGATTTTCCTATGGAGTGTATTCTGTGAATTAAATTTACTTCTATATTATTGTTATATACCAGTTGTGGACACACCTTAAAACAGTTTTTAGAGCCTTGAGAAATATAGAGAAGGAAAAATAAACATGTTTCTTTGGGAAAATTGCAGATTTTTTAGTTGGAAAATGTTTGTTTTATGTAGATGTCACTAAGGTCAGCAGTAATTCAAATGAAATGTTTTAGTGTCTTTAGGAATTTTTTTGGGGGGGAACAAAAGATTCTTCTGGAATTTTCAGATGTCGTCATATACCTTTCTTACTATAAAACTAATGAATTTAGAGGAAAGAAAAAAGAAAGAGATTGGAGATTTCAAAAGAGATACGGTGCATAAAACAGCCTTCTGTAAATTGGTAAGACAAAGAGAAGGACAAACTGATTTACTCCAAGTTTTTAAAATGTAAGAAACCCCAAACACATGGAAGTATCACCTTATCCTGAATTATGAACTTTCTTTTTTTTTAAATGATATTTTGTGAGTTAAAAATTTACCATGAGATTGTTAAAGTAAGTGTCAGGAACCAACTTTTTGCTATCTATTACCTGACAGGGGATGAATTATGTATTTGCTATAAAGGTACCTTTCTCAGCTTTGTATATGCATATGTGCATGTATGTTTGTTTAGTTGTATTCACATGAACTGATTTCCTCAGTTTTCTGTTTTATATTTAAAAAATGATCTGACATTTCTGTCTTTGTTTGTGGAAATATATCACAAAGAGATGTACTCTTAAAGGAAGAGTATTGGCTGAAAAAAAGCTTAATTATCA